AGGGGAGGGGTTCATGGGGGAGGGGGTTGATGTGGGAAGGGGCGAGGAGAGGAGGGACACAAGGGGGAGGGGATTGATGGGGGCGGGAGCATGAAGGGAAGAGGGGATTGAGGAGGGGAACTGGAGGAGGATGGAGGGCAGATATGGGCCCCACCACCATGCCCTGTCCCTGCAGGTGCGGGTGGCACAGCCCGAGGTGTTGCTGGATGGCCTGGAGCCCGGCCGGGACTATGAGGTCTCAGTGTGCAGCCTACGAGGCCCCGAGGCCAGTGAGGCCCGTGGTATCCATGCCAGGACCCGTGAGTGCCCACCCCAGGCTGTCTGCCCCCACAGGTGCCCCCTTGCACCCCGAAACCCTGCACAGGTGGGGATAAGGGCCCTTGGGAGACCCGCCTTGCCCTCGCTGGATGGCATCTAGCCCCAGGCCTTGCCCTGCTTTGCAGCCACCTTGGTGCCCCCACGACACCTGAGCTTCTCGGACGTGAGCCACGACTCAGTGTGTGTGTCCTGGGAGGGCACTCTGCGGACTGTACACCTGGTCAGGATTACCTATGTCTCCAGCGAGGGCGGCCACTCGGGGCAGGTGAGTTCAGACCCAATCTGAGGCCTGAGTCTCTTGAGAGCCTGTGGGGGTACCCAGTGCCCACATGGGGATCACAGGGGACTCAGCATCCTGGGGGGACCCAGCGCCCACACGGGCACCACAGGGAACCTAGCACAAACGCTCTCATGGAGACCACAGGACATACTCTGGCAGGCGTGGGGTGGGTGAGCAGATAGAGGGGACTCAAAGAACCAGATATTCTATGACAGCCACAGGGGGTTGCGGGACATCTGACGTGGAGGCCAACGTGGCAATTGGGAGGGACACCCTGCCAATACCTCTTTTGGTCTGCTTGACCTCATCTTCCAGCACACATGTGTCTTCCTCATCCTGGGGGTTCCTGGGGTGGTTCCGACGCAGGTCCTACGCCTGGGTCTCCCTCGTAGCAGGGGCTCCAGGTACATGAGGAGCCTGCCTGTGTCCCCCTACAGTTGGAGGCCCCTGGGAATGCCACCTCGGCCACGCTGAGCCACCTCTCTTCCTCCACCACCTACACTGTCCGCATTACCTTCCTCTACCCTGGGGGCAGCTCTTCCACGTTGACTGGTCGTGTGACCACAAGTGAGTGGGGAGAGGCCGGGGCTAGGGTCCAGCAGTCGTTGGGGGGGTTGCTGTCCTGCCCTGTGGAGTAGTTCAGATCACAAGTGCATTGGGCATTTGTGCTGGGCCAAGGCAGACATTGTGACAGATAGGACGTAGGCCCCTTGAGGGTGAGACAGGCCCTTGGGATGCACCTGGGTGTGGCTACCCGGTCTGAGACGCCACGACTCAGGCCTGCAGCCCTTGCCCTCATCTCCACATGCGTCTTCCAGGGAAAGCCCCCAGCCCCATCCAGCTGTCGGTGACGGAGCTTCCAGGGGATGCAGTCCGGCTGGCATGGGTGGCCCCAGCCTCGTCCGGTGTGCTGGTTTACCAGATCAAGTGGACGCCCCTGGGAGAGGGGAAGGCGCACGAGGTGGGCAGTAGTGGGCTTGTCCTTCAGAGGAGGCCCGGGTCCAGCCCCCAAGGTCAGGCCCAGGGCGCCAAGCCCTGTGGGTTCCCTTGTCCTGTGTTGCATGGACACCTCCTGCCCTGGCCCCATCGTGAGAACCCTGTGGTACCAGTTGACGCCTGGCACTCCTCCCTCAGATCTCTGTCCCGGGGAGCCTGGGCACGGCCGTCCTGCCAGGCCTGGGGAGGCATGCAGAGTACGAAATCACTATCCTGGCCTACTACAGGGATGGTGCCCGCAGCGACCCTGTATCCCTCCGCTACAGCCCCGGTAGGTGGCCCTTCCTTTCCCCCTTCACTGATTGTGTAGCAGGAATAGCCCAGAGGGAACCACAAATCACACCAGCAAGCTCCTGACTGCTGGGTCCTGCAGGGCCTCCTCGAGTCCACAAGGGGGCAGGTGTTCATCAGTGGCCAAGGGTCTGAATCACTTGGTGTGGTGATAGTCTGTTGCAGAGGCAGCCCAGGCAGCAGGCGTGGGGAAGTGTGGTGTGAGCATGGCGAGGTGTGGGGACTTGGCGGGGTGTGGTGGGTAATGCTGTGCTCTGGGGACCTGGCAAGGGGCACGGTGTGGGCATCAGGCAAGGTATAGCCAGGGAGTGGTCAATGGGCTGGTCCCCGGCTGCAGAGAGGCCCCTCTGGAGGGCCCTGAGCCCTGCAACCCCGCTCTCGCCCAGCCACGGTGATCAGGAGCCCCCCCTCCAGCCTGGCCCTGGCCTCAGAGACCCCTAACAGCCTGCGGATCAGCTGGACGCCCCCCAGTAGCCACGTGCTGCACTACCGTATCACCTATGCACCTGCCTCGGGCTCGGGGCCTGAGAATTCAGTGAGTCTCAGTGGGAATGGGGCGGCCACCCACATGGTCCTCCTGGTGTGCTATGGTGGGACAGATGGAAGAAGCTGAGTGGGCAGGTGAACAAAGACGTCTAGGAGTCAGGTCAGGAGACCACGCCCCACCCCCAGGTCTCCCTGCCGGGATCTAGGAGCCACGCAACGCTGTCCAACCTGCAGGCGTCCACCAAGTACAGGGTCCTGGTCTCAGCCATTTACAGAGCAGGCGAGAGCGAGGCAGTATCTGCCACAGGCCGGACAGGTGAGTGGGCACCAGGACCCCAGGCCCAGCCAGTCCAGACCCAAGTAGCACAGACCCAGTCAGATCCCAGACCCAGCCAGGCCCCCAGCCCAGCCAGTCACAGCCAAGCCCAGACATATCCAGACTCCAGACCCAGTCAGTCATCAGATCCAGACAGACCCCAGACCCAGCCAGACCTCAGACCCAGCCAGACAGAGCCAAGCTCAGATATAGCCAGATCCTAGACCCAGCTGTGCCCAGACCCAGCTAGTATAGGCCCAGCCAGACCCCAGACCCAGCCAGATACAACCAGGCCCAGACATAGCCAGACCCCAGACCTAACCAGTCCCCAGTCCAGCCAGGCCCAGATGCAGTCGGGACCAGACCCAGCTAGTACAGAGCCAGCCAGACCCCAGACCTAGCTAGACCCCAAACTCAACCAGGCCCAACCAGCCTCAGACCCAGCCAGGCCCAGACCCAGTCAGCAAAGACCTCAGACCTGTGGGGCTACCCAGTTGGACAGGGTGGGAACCATGGAGAAAGGTGAGCTTGGGCCCTGTCTACCCTGTGACGGCCCAGCACTGACAGAGGGACACAGGAAGTGCATGTGAGACCCTCCATTTTAGATGCTCAGGGCCATTTCCACGGCTGAGGCCACACCGTACAGACATTCCCACAGACCCTGGGACCAGGGGTCCCACTGCAGCCCTTTCACTGACAGATGCCAAGAACTGGCGAGAACTTCCATGCCTGCCTGGGAGGTGCTGGGCAACACCCAGCAGAGTCCCCAGTGCGGGCCACAAACACGAGTGGGGTCATGGTGGTCCGAGATGACCAGGAGAGTCCCGGGCTGGCCCTGCCTGGAGCTCCAAGGACAGGGACATGGTCTCGGTCGCCCCAGGGTCCTCCACTGGCAAGGCCCGGCCCTGCAAGGGGCCAGTGCTGGCCGTTTCGTATGTCCTGCGAGTTTTTTTGCACAACCACTGAGCTCGGAGCAGAAGGTCTCCGGCCAATCTCCCCAGCTTCCCCTAGGTGGCCATGCCATGGGGTCTCCTGGTTTCAGCTTGAATGCCTTGAGGATGGGTCCCCAACGCCGTGGCTGGGCACCCCCCTCCCACGTGAGGGAAGAGTGACTCCTCACGCAGCAGGTGCAGGTTCCTGCCTCCTCCACCTGTGGACACTTCTGAGCACCTGCTGTGCCTGGTAGTGGGATCAGCTCATGTCCTATCCCCCAGGCCCACACATGTCCCCGAGCCTGCCTGAATTCCTGGCATCCTCTTCTCTGTTGCCAGGGACATGCTGGGTGACCAGTGCCTTCTCAGTGTACAATGGCCAGTGGGACCCCCGCCTTTGGCCCTGGGCCTTGCTGGGCTCTGTCTCCCACAGAGGCAGGTGGAAAGCACCTGCTCACTGAGATCCCAGAGGGGGCAGGACCCCTCCCTGGCCCAGAGGTGTGAGGACCACAGGCCTTGAGGCCAGAGAGTGGGTGGGCAGATGGCAAGCAGCCCAGACCCATTCATGGACCACAGGAGAGGTCAGGGCACATCCTCAAAGCAGCTTCTCCCTTGGTGGTTCTGCCAGACTTGGGGACGCCAGGGTCATGCCCTACTCATGCCCACCCTCTGTCTCCTCCCAGCAACCTGCCCGGCGCTCCGACTCAACAGCTCCCTCCTAGGTGGGTCTTGGTCTCAACTGTGATAGCTGATCCCTGCTCCCTCGGTCCCCTCCCACAGCCTCTCAGGCTCTTCCTGGGGATGTGGGGCAAGGGCGTCATGACCTGGGGCTGGGCCACCGTGATGCTGGAGGGTGCTTAGTTAGGCCTGTGCTGCGCAGACTGTCCCCATGAGGCTGGCAGGGCCATGTGACTCCAGCCTTTCAAAGGAGGAACAGGCTGGCCAAGGTCACGGCCAGGATGACTGAGCAGAGGCAGAGCTGCCCTGAGTCCTTTCTGACCTCATCCTTTCTGGCCTCTGGCCTCTGCTGACCCAAGCTGGGAGTGTGAGGTGCCGAGCTTGGGGGTCCTCATACATGCCACTGAGAGTTGAGACCCTCCCCAGAGAAGGGGAAGTGGCCATGGAACTCTGTCCTAGCAAGGGACGGTGCCCTGGGGGTGCAGGGAGGGGCTGCTGGAAGGTAGATGTCTCTCGGCTGATGCCGAGTCTCACCTTGGGCCCCAGCAAGTGACCCTGTGCTGCTGAGCCTGCTGTGGGGACAGGGCAGGGACTGCAGGACAGGGATGGGGACAGGGACGGTGGGGCAGGGATGGGGACAGAGATAGCAAGGCAGATGGATGGGGGCAGGCATGAGGGGGCAGGATAGGCAACTGGGCTACTGACTTGAAACAGGCCTAGAGGAGCTGGACCTTGCTGCTCCCCCCACCCCAGTTTGCAGGACACTGATAAGCACTGTGTCAATAGGATTTCACCCCTCACTTTGTACCAATTAAGACTGGAGGAGGAGCTCCAGTCTTAATGGACTTTGAGGGCAGCAGTGGGCACACGCAGAGGGCTCCATGGCCAGTCCTGGGCCCTGTGGGGCTGGTGGGAGCAAGGCCACAGGGGTCTTCAGGCAGCTGGGGCTGCCAGGCTTGTGCCCCCAAGGGACTCATAGCAGTGTCTTCCCTGGAGAGAAAGACAAGCCTTAGAGGGCTGGGTGGGGCTACAGAGATGGGTGCTGGGGGCCTCAGCCTGCTGGGGGCTCTCCCTATTGGGGCCTCTGCCTGCTGAGGCCCCCACCTATTGAAGTCTCTGACTGCTAGTAGTCCCTGCTTGTTAGGGTCCCCACCTGCTGGTGTCCCCACCTGTTAGGGTCCTCATCTACTAGGGTCCCCACCTGCTGGGGTCCCTGACTTCTGGGAGTCCCTGCCTGTTAGGGCCCCTGCCTCTTGGGGTCCCTGCCTGCTGTGGTCTCTACCTGTTGGGGTCCCCCTTGCTGGGTTCCCCCTGTTGGGGTCCCCCAATTGGGGTCCCCACCTGTTAGGATCCCTGCCTGATCCCTGACTGTTAGGATTGCTGCCTACCAGGGTCCCTGCCTATTGAGGTCCCTACCTACTGGGGTCGCCACCTGTTGGGGTCCCTGCCTGTTTGGGTTGCTGCTTACTAGAGTCCCTGCTTGTTGGGGTCCCCACCTACTGGGGTCCCTGCCTGTTGACATCCCCACCTGCTGGGGTCCCCATGTGCTAGGATCACTACCTGCTGGGGTCCCCATCTGTTAGGGTCACCACCAGCTGGAGTTCCTGCTTACTGGAGTCCCTGGCTGTTGAGGTCCCTGCCTGTTAGAGTTACTGCCTACTAGGGTCACTGCCTGTTGAGGTCCCTGTCTGCTGGGTTCCCCGTTTGTTAGGGTTACCACCTGCTAGAGTCTCCATCTGCTGGGGTCCCTGCGAATGGACAGAGAGCAGCAGAAGTTGGGGTCCTGTGGGGCCAGGGGCCAGCCCTGTCTGTTTCTGGACCTCTGGACTGGGCACTTGGCCAAGCATCTTCCCTGCGTGGCCTGAGGGTGGCACCCCACCCAAGTTGGATTCTTGGGGTGAGATAGGTGATGCTGGGCCCAAGCCTGAAGCAGACGCCTGTTCACCCCTGCACTGACTCCCCTGCAGCCCCCCACCACACTACGTTCCCTGGGTATCACCCAGTCCCTCCCTGCCTCTGTTCCTCAGTCAGCCACCTGTCCTCTAGGGTTTGACCTGATGGCACCCTTTGGCCTCGTGGAGAAGGCTTACGCCTCCATCCGTGGTGTGGCCATGGAGCCCTCAGTGCTGGGCGGGGCCCCAACCTTCACACTCTTCAAGGACGCCCAGCTGACCAGACGAGCCAGGTGCGAGGGCAGGGCACGTGCTGGCAGGACCACTCAGACACCTGCGAGTGGGTGGGCAGCTCCCAACTTGAGATTGCCCTCCCTGGGGTGGTCTTGGTGATCTCTTATGAACCACTGACGTGTTCTGGGATGATCCTGGGTGCGGGCTGGGGCAGTCTGGGACCCTCGAGCACTTCTGGTTGCCCTGGAGGGAGTTCTGTCCTTTACACACCTGTGTTACTTAGCGGGATGCCAAGGCAGGGGAGACCCTGCTTGGCCACTAGTGCAAGCCCTGGGAAGCCAAGCAACTCCACACTCACCTTGCACCCGGGAAGGGTGTGCAGGTTCAGGGGGTCCATCATAACCACAGAGCAGCTTCAACAGGTGGGGCTTGTCCCCACCAGGCCTGGCTGCCCCTCAGTCTGCTCATTTGCCTCCTGTCCCCCTCACAGTGACATCCACCCGGCTGCCCTCCCTCAGGAGCACACCATCGTTTTCCTCATGCGCCTCCTCCCCGAGACACCCCGTGAAGCCTTTGCGCTGTGGCAGATGATGTCCGAGGACTTCCAGCCCGTCCTTGGAGTTCTGCTGGATGGTGATCATGGGCCCCGAGTGGACCTCGGCTGTCAGGAGGGGTGGGGCTGCCCCAGGCTGTGGGTTTTGAGGAAGTTCAGCTCCAAGCTCCCTGGCAGCAGGGACATGGGACTAGGTAGGAGGCAGGTATCCTGAACGGGATTCTCTGTGGCATCAAGGGCCACCCAGGCATCATCCTCAGGGCTGCTTCTCATCAAAGGGGCCGCCCTGCTGGAGGCCTGGCACGGTTGTCCTTACCTGCTCCTCCTCTACCCCACAGCTGGCAGAAAGTCCCTGACCTACTTCACCCGAGACCCCAGGGCAGCCCTGCAGGAGGCCAGCTTCGACCTACAGGAAGTGAGGAAGATCTTCTTTGGAAGCTTCCACAAGGTCTGGGGAACTCAGGGTCCACCTCCCCCATACCCCGAAGCTCTGGGATAGGAACTGCCCCCCAGGTGCTGTGGACCAATACTTCTTCCCTGTAGTCACCAGAACTCTCCTTGGGATGAAACATTGCACACTGGAGCACCTGTCCCTTTGCCCTGATTGTTCCATCTTACCGGGTCAAAGCACACCCAGCTCTTCTCTGTGGGTCCCACAGACCCTCAGGAGGCACCTGCTGCAGGTGCCATTGTGTCCATTTTACAGAGGGGAAACTGAGACCCAATGAGTATCGTGGGAGGCCTGGGGCAGGGTCAGATCCTGATGCCCAGGCTCGGGGAGGGGCAGCCATTCCACTAAACTGGCGTGGCCTGTAAGTGGACAGCGTGGGCCCTGTCTGGGCCTTGGGAGTCTCCCTGCTGTCTTGCAGGTGCATGTGGCTGTGGGCCACACCAGGGTCAGGCTCTATGTGGACTGCCAGAAGGTGGCCGAGCGCCCTCTTGGGGAAGTGGGCAGCCCACCCACCACCGGGTTCGTCACGCTGGGGCGGCTGGTCAAGGCCAGGGGCCCCCGGAGCAGCTCAGCCACGGTGAGCCTGGGTCTTATCCTGCGGGCCAAGCTGGCCTGATAGTCGGGGACTGTGGGCTCTGAGGCTTGTCTGACCCCTGCCCCGCTCTACAGTTCCAGCTGCAGATGCTGCAGATCGTGTGCAGTGACAACTGGGCAGATGAGGATCAGTGCTGTGAGCTTCCTGCGTTGGTAGGTGGCAGTGTGGGCCTGGCCACGGTCCCTCGGTCCTCTTCCAGCTCCAGGAAGGAGAAGCAGAGGCCCACTTGAGGGCCACAGGGCTTGGGGGTCTGTGGGCTTGTCCAGGTCATTACTGCGCTATGAGAGATTAAGGCAAGCTTTCTGGATTAGGTGGCCTCGGGGGCCAGAGGGTGAGTCCAGAGTGACTGGATGGGAGAGTCCTGGAGGCCCTGGGGGAGGGGCACTCTCAGTTGCAGGGGTGGCTGCTGCTGTGTCCTCAGGGCCACTCCCTATCTCTGAGGGCCAGCTGGAAGCAGCTTACAGTCAGGCCAGGTGCCCCCAGCCATGTGGGGATGCAGCAACCTGCGGATGTGCATAGAGGCCTTTGCTGACTCCACAGTGTACCCAGCAGAAGTTGTGCTGGAGCCTGGGCTGGAGTGAGAGAGAGAGATCCTGGGGGACTGAGTGTCCAGAGCCCCACTGCACACATGGGAGCTTCGTGGTTGCACCCAGGTGTGGGTCTGGAGGTGTCCTGAGGGCCAGGTTTCCTTACCTGTGTTGAATTCTGGGGTCAGGCAAGAGCCAGGGGGAGCATCTAAGAGTGGGTTTTCTCTTCCTGCAGAGGGATAGAGAGACTTGTCTGACCTTCCCTTCTGCCTGCACCTGTTCCTCGGAGACCCCTGGACCTCCAGGGCCCCAAGGGCCTCCAGTGAGTCCAGCAGTGTCTCCCCTGAGGGTGACCATGGGCAGGTGTGGCGCGGGTGCCCTCCCATGCTCCTTGACTGGGCAGAGACCAGCCCACCAGCAGCCCCACCCTTGGCCAACCGTGAGGATGAGATGCGGGTTTCCACCCTGTGGCACACCCCCTCACCCCAGCCCATGAGAGGAGCCTGGTCGGCCCCTTCCTTCCTGCTGGCTGTGCCTCCATCTCCTGAGCCTTCTCTGGCCTGGAATTCAGCATTTCTGAATATCAGGGTGGGAGGGGGCGGGGCCTAGCTGGGCTCCAGGGCTGGCTGTGGCCATAGCTGTCTCATGGCTACTATGAGTCATGGCCACTTGGGCGGCCTCTGTCCTGATACTGGTGGCCTAGACCTCCTGCAGCAGGTGTCCTGGGGACCCTTCTGCACAGACCCCCAGGAGCAGCTCTTTGAAGGCCTGGATGATCCTGAGAGGCTCCTCAGACCTCCGTGGCTGGAGCTGCCTCTGCCAACCGAGGCTCCAGGATCTGGCAGGTTCCACAGAAGGAGCTGGGGCTTTGAACCCAGATCTGCCTGAATCTAGCCTGTGCCCAGTTGTTAGAGGGCAGGGTAGGTCAGGATGACCTTGCCACTGGAAGCCCCTTCCTCTTCCTCCCAACAGCAGTGGATGGGGGTCCAGCACTAGCCAGGGATGGGACTGGGAGTAGAACTGGTTTGTATCCCTCCACTGCAGTTTTGGGAGTGCTGGGGGCAAAGCCTGGGCTGCGTAAAGCTAGGATGGAGCTGGAGGTGGGGCTTGAGAGGCTTGGGCCAGGCTGAGGGTAGGGCTTAGCCTGGGCAGGTGCTAGAACTACGGGTGTGGGTTGGGCTGGGGGCATGGCTTGGGCTGGGTGGGGCTGGAGCTGGGGGTGGGACTAGAGCTGGAGGCAGGGCCTGGGCAGGTGAGGGGTGGTTTGTGCCCCTCTGCTTGGCTGGGCTAGTGCTGGGGGCTGAGTCCTGCTTGTGCTTTTCCAGGGCCTCCCGGGGAAGGACGGCACCCCAGGAGAGCAGGGCTTCCCAGGGCCCAGGGTAAGTCTTGGGACCCTGGCTCTTACCTGGCAGAAGAGGATGCCATGGCATGTTCATCAGCATGCAGGCAGCGAGTGGCAAAACCCCTTCCCTGTCAGAGTGGGGCGTCTCCCTTAGCCAAAGGCCACCAGAGACTCTGATGCGCCAGGGAACCCAGGGAAGCGGGCTGGGCTCCCCCCACATGCCTGCTGGGCACCAACACCACACCTGGTATTTGATGGAAGTTCCCTCTTCATCCTAGGAGGTAGAACAATCTCATGGCATGGGTGGGGAAACTGAGGCTTGCTGAGGTGAGAGATCTGTCCAGGCAGCAGGCCTGTCTGACCCTGAAGGCTCCCATGTCCACCTGGTGGGCATGTGCCCAGTGCCTTTTGTAAGCCAGGCAGAGTACCTTCATACACATCTAGCTTCGGGTACCGGGCCATGCGGGAGGCTGTGGGGGGCTCTGGCTCTGCGGAGAAGGATGATGAAGGCAGTGCCTCATCCATGACAACCGCACGCATACCAGTTGCGGGAGTTGGGGGTTCCCTTCCGGTTCAGGTCTAGAAGTCCACCTAAACCACAACATGGCACAAGCAAGACACGAGGTGCAGGAGGTGTGACGCCATGCACCCCCTTCCCAGCCCTGGTCCTCCCCAACCCCAAACCCCACCTCCAGCAGCCTTCCAGAAAGTTCTGTGCAGCCTAGTCCGGCAAGAATGCCTTCTCTGTGAGCTGCCCGTGCCCCTGCATGGCTGTGCACGTTCTGCTGGAGGTTATCTTGGGAATCAGCTCTCAAAACAGAGTCGCTGAGGGGAAGGACCAGTGCTCCTGTGCTTGGGAGGACCCGCCACAGCCACACTGTCCCCTTGAAGGAGGCAAGGTGCCCTCACTGCCACCACCACAGCTTTGTGCCCCACCTGCTCATGGTTGGCTGATGTGGCTGAAATGCATTTCCCCTCCAGACAGCGGGATGCCCTATAGAAGGTGCTGGTGTTCTCCCGTTGGGGGCTGTCCGTCCCCTCTGTTCCTGGTTTCTTATTAATTTGTGGGAGTGCTTCCTACTTAATGGAAGTGGCTGTGTGTGATGTGGGTGGAGACTGTGCTGAGCATGGTGTAGTTTTTCTTTTGACCTTGTTTGTGTTGTGTTTCCATGCAGATTTTTAAGTGACTTTCACCAAGTCAGCGCTGGTGGCCTGTCCTCTGTGGTTTTGAATTTCGTAACCTGTTCTTATTTTTTTTTTGAGTTGGAGTCTCACTCTGTCGCCCAGACTGGAGTGCAGTGGCTGCTCCTGGCCACTGCAGCCTCGACCTGCTGGGGCTC